TGTCGACGGGGGGCGGGAACTAGGCCGCAGCTCCAGGCTGCAGCACAATAACACGCTCGCTCAAAACTCCGAGCTCCAGCGCGCAAAAGCAACTCTGCGCAAAGCGGATTTGAAAGGAATGCTTTGCACCCCGTTTCTAGTTATTTCAAATAATCCTGCAAACTGGGAAGCAGAAACAATTTAAAAGTCACATTTTCCTTAATCCTAAATCCGCGTAGGTCATAACTGGGGAATTTAAAGTATGGCGAACCGCTCTAGCAAAGAGGGGACCAAATCCCTAATCCCAAGGATTTTTCGAGCGGGAGCTCGGCAGAGGCAGGAGTGTGCGGCCTGTTCCCTTCGCGCGCTTCTCTCCTCCCTCAAACTTGCCTAGCTGGTAGCTCCCCGTCAGAATGTCGAGCCGTGGCTGATCTCTAACCAACCCCAGACGCCAGAGTGGGGGGCTCCGTGTGTGTGTGTGTGAGGGCATCTGCTCTCCCGGTGCCTGCGGAACCCGAGAATGTGGAGGCCGGAGCCGGCGCTGGGCGGGCGTTGTCGCAAGGCTCGGATCTCCCGGGGGGCATTTCAGTTCCCGCCTTCCGGTGGCCCAGGGCTGCCTTTTCCGGGGCCCAAGACTGGAGGTAGCCCCCCGCCGCAGTCCCTACGTCCCGGAGATCTCCCGCCGCCCTTGTTGTCTTTGCCTATAGCATTTTTGCGGCTCCTTGCTTTCCTCAAACACCCCCTCCCCTCACGCCCTCATTGTCTTGAGTCTTTGAAAGTTGGGAGAATCCAAGATACTTCTGAGAACTGATGATGAAGTCCCACTTAAGTGGCAAGCAATTCACTTTATCCGTTCGCTTTGGTTTGGGTGTTACCGTTTTAAAAATGCAAGTGAAGTGAACGTGAACAATAAAGAGAAACGGAGAGATGTTTAGAACCAGGGCAGAGGGAAGAGAGCAGGAAACTTTGCCGCCGCACAAATCAGAGCCGACCCTTGCGGAGGCCTGGCGTTTCCAGTTAGCCTCCGGCCTACGCTGGCCCTTGCTGCTCCAATTTCTGGGAAGCGAGACGGCCTGGCTTTTTGTGGCCCAGGTTCTGGAGTGTGAGGTCCTCCCCTGGAGGGGCAGAAGGAAACCTTTTCTGCAGCATTCCGAGCCTCTAATGCAAAAACAGAAGCCAGCGGGCTTCGGCAGGCCTCCTGGCTACTTCGCCCTGAGACAGGCCCTCGCCTTCTTCCCTAGAAGTAAGGAGCCTCGGACTCGTTCGCCCACTTGGGGTGAGGAGTCGGCGGGGTTGATGCGTGTTGGGGTGGCGGGGGGCGCCTGAAAAGCGAGGCCTCGGAACAGGGGGAAGGGGCAGGCGCCAAGCTCGGTTCGCTGGGGGCCCGCACCCGCGGACTGGCACCTAGGTGAACCGCCCGGACTCAGAAAGAACGGCTGAGTGACACGCTGGGGAAACTTGGGAGCTTTCCAACTTCCCAAGGGCCCGAGTTCGGCCTCGGAAGCCTGAGACCCGGCGCGGGTTCGGCCGCAGCTGTTATAGTTTCTCAGGCCCGCAGGAAGGCGGCCCCCGCCCGCGGCGCCGCTGCATCCCGGCCTTCTCCAGACAGGTGGCGGCAGCCGGGCCCGAGACCTGCGGCCCTCGGGCCCCGGGCGGCAAGGAGGTCGGCGCGCAGCGGGCGAGGTCAGGACCGAGCCGGGCCGCGAGGTCTGCGGCCCCCGCCTCGCTCGGTTTCGCACAGCTGGAGGGCAGAGCGATGTCACCCGGGAGCCCCGCCTGGGTGGTAACAAGACCCCGGCCAGTCACCCCTGCAGCCCAGACTAACTTCTTTCAACAGCCTCTGATGGTAATTACAGTAATCGAAGCTGCCATATATCTTTAGGCAATTATGACACACAAAAAGCCCCGAGGGGACCCCCTGGCGAGGGAAGTTAAGAACGGTTTTCCAGCCTCAGGAAACTCCCGCCTGCCTCACGTCGGAGCTCGCTCGGTTTGCTAAATGAGAGGAGCTTTGCAACGGGGTCAACCAGCTTGTCTCGTGACCCCAAGTCACCTTTACGTGGCTGGGTGGCGGAGTCTGAGGCGCAGACCCGCTATGCCCCGGAATTTTCGCGTCCCTCCCTCCTGTGCCCCGCCCCGGGCGAGTACGCCTGCCTCTAATCTGCCCCAGGAGCCGTGACTCGGAGGTCTGCTCCGTGGCAGGGCCGACCCGCAGCTGTGGAGGCCCCGAGGGGCGACTGTCGAGGAGCCCCGCACCCCGCCCCAGCTGGAGGAGAGTCACCCACCCTGCACTGGTCCTCCCTGCGTCCCATGGGTTTCCCCAGAGATGTGCGTCCCTGTCCTCTGTCTGGATGGGAAGCGGGGGGGAAAAGAAAGCCCACCACTGCTCCTCCTGCGCGCTCATCTTGGCATCATCAAAACTGCTACCGGGAAGAAGACAGCTGGGGCGACAAGATTGCTGAACCCCAAACATGGACCCCCGCTCAGCCAGAGGGCGTGTGTCATGCTGGGAACGATGGTTGCAAAATATGGAAACCAAGTTGACTGTTTCTAGCGTGAGTGCGACGCAGCAGAGCTCGCGTCCCCGGTTGCTGGGCGGCTGTGAGTTCCTGTGGGCGCACTGGCAGGCCCAAGGGGGTGAGGGACAAGACCCGCTGTGGCGTCGTCTGGAGCTCTCCAGCCCCTTCCTCCCCCCAGCACAACCTCTCCTCCCACCGTACTGGAAAGGGGGCGTCGAGGCGGTGGTCGCCTCGCCGCGCGCCTCCCCCACCGGCCTTTGTCGCCGTCTGAATTCCCATGCTACTCTTTTTGACGGGTCACTGGTGGCTGTATAGGCAGGTGCTATGGCGGAGTTGTAATTACCCAGGCCGAGCTTGGTCGTTCCCGAACCCCCACCCCCACCCTGGCCGCCGGCGCTTTCCCTAAGTCCCTCCTTCCCGGCCCCCAGCAGCTCCTCCTAGGCCTTGGTCAGGGGTTCGCGCCTACCAGGACGCCTCAAAATCCACGAGCAAGTTTCCACTTCTGAGACCTCAGCGGCCTTTCCCGACGTGGGGCCCACGCCTTCTCTATTCCCCTGGCCGGGTTGTTCTGACTCGCTTCTCTGCACCCCAGCCTGATAGCGTTCCCGAACCTGAGCGCCCCAGGGAGCAACTGTCGAGTTTCATCGAGGCGGAGGCATCTCGGCCCCAGACTGGAGGTCTTTGGTCGAGTAGCGACTTGAAAATTTAATGTAAAGAAGTTAATTATTACTATCATTGTTGTTACTACCAAAATGTTAACACTTTAATACTTTGTGGGAGGAAAGATTTCTAAGTCCCTATAAATCTCTTCAGGCTTGTTGGACTCTTGAACCTTAGAGAAAATAGTTCCTTCTCTTCTGAATTTTGGGATACAACCCTCTCCCTAACATTCCTCCAACGTCCATGGCCACCCCAGGCTTGAGGAGATTCCAGGGAAAGTTCTCTTAAACCAGGCGACTGTCGAGGCCAATAAGGGTGGAGGACAGTCTAGAGAAACCAGCTACATCCTTTAAAATATCAGCCTCCCACAGTGGTGGAAAACAGGCAGGAAGGGACCCAACCGAGATCTAGTGTGAGGAGACAGGTCTTTGAGGAAGAAGAACTTGGGGAGTGGAGGGAGAAGGGGGTGGCTGTCCCGCGCTAACCTGCTAAGGGATCGCACACGCGTCACTCTCTCTCGTTTGCCCAGCCCGGTCCTAGTTACTTTGGGGGGAAAATGTTCTTTTCTTAAAAGAAATAATTTCTCAAAAGCGATCCACTAAGCATTTTTTAAAATAGGTAAAGCGAAAGTTGGGCAATTACCACTACCCTTATTATCATTAATAATCCTAGTATTAGCATTACAATAATAATCCTAATAATAACAACCGCCCGGCAGCTCAGAGAAAACTCGATTGCCTTCCAGCTGCCATCCCCGGTTCCAGCCGTGTTTGTTTTTCTTCTTTCCCCTTTTACATTTCAAGTTTGTCTCCTCGCGCGCTAACAACTTTCTCTGTTTAATGCGAGAGCGGGGGAGGGACGCGGCCAAACTTTCCGCGGAGCAGAAAGGCAGCGGCGGCCGTGCTGCCGCCCCGGCCTGCTGTAATCTTTTATTCCAAAATGGGTCTCAGCGATTAGAAGAGACCCAAATACATGTAGCGGTGCATGAATAATGCTCATTGTAGGAAACTGACACTTGCTCAAGGAAAAAAAGTTTGGCTATAAAATCACTTCATTATTTGCTTTTACCGCAGCTTCGGTGCTAATCCCTTCAGAGGTCAGATTGCTTAGCATCTCTCTCTCCCGCTCCCTTTCCTCCCTCTTCTCCGCCCTCCTCTCCCTCTCGCCCCTTCCCCCCTTCCCTGTCTTTCCTGCGATTTCAGGCCGTATTTTAGATATCCCCTGTAAAGTGTGCGGCGACCGCAGCTCGGGGAAACACTACGGGGTCTACGCCTGCGACGGCTGCTCGGGGTTTTTCAAACGGAGTATCCGAAGGAATAGGACGTATGTCTGCAAGTCTGGAAACCAGGTACCTCGGCCAGGGCTGCACCGCCCGGCTTCCGTCTGCTGCCTCCCCTTTCTTTGTTTGTGCCAAGGCCTCCTCCGAGTTTCCAGGCTGCTGGGGAGAGACCAAGCTCTGACCTCTCCCTTCCTCTCCCTCCTTCCCGCCTCAACGCTCAGAGGCCCTTCCGCGTGGGAAAGGCGGGAAGAGCTAAGGGAAGATACAGAGTTTGCAGGGGAAAATCTGAAATCCCGGCTCCTCCCTACACACACACACACACACACACACACACACACACACACGTCCCACTTTTTGCAATCCTTTGACACACTTTGACACAGGGTATGGCCCACACCCAGTGGCTTTGAAGCCAGAGAAGGGGACCTAAGGAACTTCAGAATCTAAACCACAAGTGCAATCTGGAGAAAGTCTATGTTCTGTTGCCTGCACCCCACCCACATTCCTAGCAGCACCCAAGCTCAGTGACCTGACCACTGCCTGCCATGGTAGAAGGAAAAGGCACAAGGCATCTCAGTCAAGGTTGCCCCCCAAAGTGAGCATGATCATTTGGAACACGGAGGGCTTGCCCTGTGAAGGGCTGTGTCCTTTCAACTTCAGAGTAGCAGGACTGCTCTGGTAGTGGTCAGTGGGGCTTCAGCACCCATGTGACTTTAGCTAGGCGGAGTCACAGGAAAGGCAGAGTGCACAGGAAAAGAAGACTCTCAAGGAAGAGGTAAATTGGATCCTCTCCAAGACTCCCATGTCTTCTCTTTCTCTGCTTAGAAGATGTGCCTGGTTGGTTGTGTTTTGGTCTTGAGCAAGCAGAACTGTCTCAGAGAGACAAGGGGGTTAGAGCATGGGCTGAGAGTGAGCCAAAGCTTCCAGAAAGAGCAAGTAGGACCCCCTGACTCAGTTCCCAGCTCAGCAATAGGCTCATTTCAAGGAGATCAGCCTTTTGGCCCCACACTTTGCCTTCTCCTCAGCCAGGCACACAGACCCTCAGCACAGAGCCACCACTTTGACTCCCAAGAAGATCCTGGAGAAAGTATTAGTCAGAAGTCATCCTTTGGTAACCAAAATGGTAAAACATCTTCACTAATTAATATTTATATATGTGTATACATACACAAATATTGTCTGCTGCTAGTGAATTATTCTATTTCTAAAGCTATGTCTGCTCATATTAATTTCCAATAGATTTGGATTATCAACAAAAACATGATGATATTTACATTTGGATAAGTTATTTGGAACTCCAGCCCTGTTACCTGTTTAATTGGGTACACAGCTCTGTATCAGTTTCTAGCTCACCATATGGACACATCACATTATACACATGCAGGGCTGTATCCCTGTAGCCCCGCAGGAATATGAGATTACTGTGGGTCCTCAGATTTGAGCAGGCTTCTACTTAAATTACCTTTTAATTTTATGCAATGCACAGAATTGGGGAATCAAAATCTCAGATGTTATGCCTGATATTTTCAAAGGGGTTGGCTATCAATTCAAACATATTGATGTCAGTCCAAGTCCTTGTAAAGGACTGATAATAGACTCATCAGGCTTGGTGTCCTCTCCTTACAGAGAGAATAAATGGGCTGAGCTCAAGCACTCATCTTTCTCTCAAGCTTCAGATATTTATATACATATGATCTGATTTCAAGACACTCTTAAGAACAAATGAAGGCTTCGATTTTGCATTAGCTTGTTTATCAGAATACTAGGAAGATGACATTTGAGGATAGATATATGACTGCATTTAATAACAAGTTCTCTAAACCTCTTTACATTGAGCTATTGCACTGGCCCTCAAAGATGCCCTAAAGAATTCACTTAGAAAGCAAAGATTATTTCCTTTATCTCTTTTATTCTAAGATTAGATAAATAATATTCTAATTTATTGTTAACAGTAATTAAAACATATGGAAATTATTATGAACCTCTGCCCCACCTTTATTGTAAATATTACCTCAACATATTTTAAATCAGAAGGGTGGGATCTCATAAAAAAGTATATTCAAGTGTGTTATTTTTTCCTAAGGGCTATTTCAGAAAGTGTGCATACTCCAAATTCAGAGTATATGAATTTTTTAGGTTATGAAGCAAAATAAAATGCATTTATTATATTCTCTTTCTTCCCACTGTACATGTAACAGTAGCAAGTCGTATAAACACAGGAGAGCACCAAACTTATTCTGTATTTTTGGTGTATAAAATGCATATGTAGCTGTGACTATATGTATCTATGTATAAGTTCCCTCAGTAATAACACCTAACACTGAATGAACACTGAAGTTCCATTAGAAACTTTCTCTGTAAATTTCCTCTTCTTTAAAAAAATTTTTTAATCTTTATTTATTTTTGAGAGAGAGAGAGAGAGAGAGAGAGAGTGCAAGCGGGGGAGGAACAGAAAGAGGGAGACACAGAATCCGAAGCAGGCTTCAGGCTCCAAGCTGTCAGCACAGAGCCCGATGGCATTCGAACTCACAAACCTTGAGATCATGACCTGAGCTGAAGTTGGTCGCTTAACTGACTGAGCCACCCAGGCGCCCCTGTAAATTTCCTCTTCTAATAGCCAATAGTTTCCCAGAAAGTGTCATTAGTTAAAACATTTATTTTCTCGTGCATCTCAAATAAATATTTGTAAGTCAGTAATTAGCTCTTTTTTTTCCCCCAGTTATAATGCCAATTTTCTCAGTCCATATTATCGTTTTGTCAGACAGTCCATCACATTATCTTTCTGGTCATATTTACATAGTGGGCATCTGTAGATTTTGCCTAGGCCTTGGACTCTTCCTTTCCCATCCTCACCTCTGTAGGTCTTGCCCTCTTAATCACTCTGGCTTCTGCTCACTTTCCAGGAATGGCTTTGTTTCCATGAATCTGTGCTGAGGCAAGTCTTTAAGACAAGTTTCACATGCTGGTTATAAGAATGGCTTCAGGTACAAAGGCAAGAGTAAGGAAACAGCATAGTGAAGAATAAGTGGGAGAGAGTTATCTGACAGAAAGTAACAGAAAGAGGTAGACTCTGGACATAGCGGCGATCCCGACCAGCATGCCTGCTCCCAGCCCAGCTCTGACGCCTCCGCCTCTGGGCCAGGTCGCTGTCTTCGGTACTGAAAAGTGTCGCTCCTGCTGCACCACCTCCGCTCCTGGAAGAAGTTCCCCTCTAGAGCAACTTCCAGCACAGCAGTCGGGCAACCAGGCGCTGGGACCCTTCACCTGCTTTGAGAAGGACTTTTCCTCCTTGTCCACTTTCGTAGGCTCAGGGGCTGTTCCTTTTGAAGTAGCCCCTGGAATCCCAGCCCTCTCTCTGCCTGGCCCTGCTCATGCCCAAGACCTTTAAGTCTGGCGGACCCAGGCTTGCAGCTCCTAGGTCCGTGGCGGGGTCCGTTCCCGCCTCCACGTTTCCCTCCACCTGGCGCCGGCTTCGCGTCTCCAGTCTAAAGGCCCTGGGGCCGCTGACCTCCTGCGCTCTGTTCCAGGGAGGCTGCCCGGTGGACAAGACGCACAGAAACCAGTGCAGGGCGTGTCGGCTGAAGAAGTGTTTGGAAGTCAACATGAACAAAGATGGTAATCAGTACCGCTTTTTATCGCTCTAATGTTGGTTGACTAGTAAGCAAATTATATGTACAGAAAATACGTGGCACTCCAATGAATGTAAATCATCTCCCCAGCACATCTTTCCAGATGCTGGGAATTGGCCTCGGACTTTCAGTCATATCCTTCCGTCTCTCTGCATGAGCCCCCACCCCTTATGGAACTCTCCCCCCAGTCCCTATCCTATGGAACTCTCCAAGTATGGCCCATGGCCACATTGGAAACTTGTGCCCCATAACCACCCCCACGGAGACCGCGATGCCGGGAGCCCCAGTCTGCTGGGCACACACGCGCGGTATTTCCTGCTTCACATCCTAATACCTCTTCTAGCCTCTCTTTGCAGCTCTTTTGTGGCCACTTCTAAGCCTGTTAGTCTCCCGCAGAATCTCGCAGTCTGGATAGACTTCGAGGGTGGAGATCGTGGGGACTGGGGCACTGTGTCGGAGGAGGGAGGGCAGAGACGCAAGCACTCGGAATTTCAAGCCCTTGTTTGCTAATTCAAGATTCCAAAATCAGGATGGCCATTGTGGCGATCTGGGCTTTTTCTGGGCCTTCTCTCGGTTTTACAAAGAGAGGCTGGAGAGGCAGGGTGATGCCTGGGGGTGCCTCTGACACCCAACTCCCAGAAGGCTCTTAAACGCGCGCAGCAAGAACTAGGCAGTAAGATGCTTCTTGCGCAAAGAACTTAGTCCAAGTGCGTGTCCGGTGGTGTCCTGGCGAGGGCGCCCCAGGCCTGGCCTGGGTTGCGGGGCGAGGCG